ACCGTCCGCCCCGCCCCGCCCCCCGCCGCTCCCCCAGGCGACTCCACTGTGTGCCGCCCGATCCATCCATCATTAGCCCTGCATTCTCAAACAGCACGATCAAAGATCAGAATGCGATTGGCGCGGCCGCAACGCGCGGAGGGGCCGGCTGGCTGCATCCCCCGCCCCGCCCCGCCCCGCCCCGCCGGGATCGCATCCATAACTGCCACCCCTTTCCAATTCACTACCCGTATCGCCCCGCGCTCGCTGCCCGCCCGGCCGTGGCCCAGAGGCTGCCACCGGGGTGCCGCCGGGCTGCCCGTATCTGTCGAGGCGAACCTTTGTGAAACCAGAGTTGTGGGTTCGACTCCGCCCCAGGGCCGGCCGGCCGCGGCCGCCGCGCCGCACACCTCTGCCGCCAACACTGTCCACTTTGAAGTCAACTTTCCTACTGCCCGCTGGCAGCCATATTGTGATTGAGCTGTCTCTCAGTGGTGACAGTCGGCAGTCCGAGCAATACACTCACTATGGGGCACCACCGGGGCCTATAATATGTACCGTTACGAAAGCGAAACAATTTTCGAACCGCGGCACGGTAAGGGGCCCCCGCCTGTGTGAGGTTTCGCCCTCGCGGTCGGGGGGCGGGGCTCGAGCTCCCGGAGCCCTGCTGGGCTGGAGTGTCGACTTGCCGTGGTGGAGCTCGCCACACGAAAAGTCTGTCGCGCGCGCCAGCGCCACGCTGCCTCCTGTTTCAGGAACACGCTGACGGGCCCGTGGCCGTGAGAAGTTGCTTATCCAAGCCATGCAACAACATCGCTGCCGAATTTACGGCGCAAACTGCAAAGTATCGATAAAGTTTAAAACAATATGTACGCACTGTACACCGTACGCTGCAGCGGGCCGCCGTGCCCCTGGGGTGGAGTCCCATCCGGTGCTGCAATCACCCAGTCGTGACGCCGCGCCAGCACAGTGCGGGCCCACGGCCCACGGCCCACGGGTCCAGTGTGTCAGGGTGGCAGTCGGGCCCAGCCAGCCCGGCGGCGCGGCCGTAACGCGCTCCTTTTGTGTCCCTGAAACTACCACTGACCCCGACCCGACACAACGAGCAGACTACACAGAAAAAAGAAGGGTGACAATAGCTTACTGCTTACAATACACATTGTACGGTATGCCATGAAAGCGCATGAAAGCATAGTTTCGTTTAAAAGGGCAGAGAAAGGCTTCCCTTCCCCGTTTTCCGTCAATGGCAGTGCCTGACTACTGTGACACTGTCGGTGTCCTCGGTGTCCTCAGAGGTGAGGACGGCGAGGAGGGTACGTACGGACGGCGTTGTTTGAGCACCACTGAAGCCCCAGAGGATGACGGACGGCGCTAGTCACTCGCTCTAGTAGTGGTTTGGGACGCGAACCGGGCGGGAATTGCCAGAAGTTGTGACTACGGAGGGAAGGCCAAAATGTTCCAAACTTCAAAGTCACCCCGCAAGAGCGCGCCACCTGTATCCCCAGCCTCAGGGCCCGAAACAAAACAAAAGCAGTCGTCGGTCGTCGGTACGTCGGTTGCGTCGCGTCGCGGGTGGAGCGCAATGGCGCCGCCAAAACAATCTAACGTAAATCGTGAAATTTGAAATACAATTTCGAAGTTGAACAGATCAATGGCAGTAGGAGCCGTTCTTTGATAATCACCTCCAACAAGTTTTGCTTCATATTCACCGCGCAATCTTGCATCGTCCTTCATCTGCCAATGGTTTTGGGCTGCTTTCACCACATCGGCCTTTGAGGTTAGGTAGCTACCTCTCACATGGCAAACCCCTGTTGATCCTGTTGAAATGTTGCACAAGTAAGTTTTCACCTTTAGTAAGGCAGCTGTGCCTTGAATGCCAGCACTTTTAACTCTGCACATGGTTGTGGCTGTGTGGTTGTATCACACCTCAGTCCCACCCAGTCTTTGATGTAAATTTGTCCGTTGGAAGCAATTTATCTAATATCAAGTTTTCAGGTGTAGGTTAGAGTTCTGCAATATGAATGAATGTTGCTATGTGTCTCATACATTATGTAGTTCCAACTGGGACAATTAGTAACGGTCATGTCTAACACTTTATTGGTGTTCGCTCCCATCCCCATTCAAATAATAAAATTAGACTGAAATGGAGCGAGGTGGGATGAGAGTAATTTACAAACTCACTCAACACTCAAGTAGAGCGATAACCAAACTCATGACCAAAAAATACACAGAGGTTTCTATTCTTTGTAAGACATATTTTGGTACATAGCTTGCATATATTTCAGAACGTAAGAGACACTAGAGACAGGCCTTCAAGGTCTTTTTAGACAGTTCCCAAGAATGTATACACTTGGCAAAATCATATATATTTGCTGGTATTTGTTCAAGTAACCTAATAAGTTTCTGGAATAATTGTATGAGTTATTCTAACATTCTAACCGAGTATCTACTGTAGCAGTCGAATTTTTTCTCTGAGGCATAACCGGCGGCTCGGCGGCTCCCGTCCCACCGCTGCACTGCAGACGGCGGGCGGATCGACTTGGACTGTTGTAGCTTCTTGAGCTGTACGAAAAACTGAGAGGAAAGATTTGTGGCCTGGTCGAGGGGACTGTCTGTTTCATAACCCTGTGGGCTAACTTGTTAGTTAGTCCCCAAGACCGTCTCTACCGGAGGGCAAAGTTCCCCCTCTT